GATACATAAAAACGTTGTTGTAAGTTTATAAGACGTTCTTTTGACGTCTTAACAAGCTTTTTTTTAGAATATTCTTAGAATTAATTGTCGTATTAATTTTACATGACACTTTGGGAATTGTCTTATAAACATATATTTTATAGGACATTTGTTTTCATAGGACACTTTTTTCAAACGGAAATTAATAAATCAATGTATTTCATAAGTATACTAAAAACTTGTTGCAACGCATTTAAATAGGACAGATAATTGTATGGTCCCATACACTTAAATCCCATACAGTTCAACCTTTTTTGTCGTCCTATAAATACGTTATTACATGATATACGTACATAATAATAATGGAACATTATTTCATGATATATATATATATATATATATATATATATATATATATATATAAAGAGAGAGAGGGATACTTCAAATACAAACTATGTAATTTATACAAACCACAGCCAACGCTCATATTATGAAACAATGGAGATATTTATGGATAATAATCATGATTCATTCATTATATATAATGTTCATTCATTATTTATCATGACTATAGATTAAGAAACAATCGAGATATTTATTAGAATAGATAAACGGTTAAGATTGGTTTATATATATATATATATATATATATATGAAAGATCGTTTGAAAAAGAGAGTTAAAGTGAGAAGCATGAAAAAGAATCTGGATTCTTAATCACCTTTAACCTCAAACCCATCCATGAATCAATAAATTCTTTAAATTAGTTTTTACAGCTTTCATCTTTTCAATGATTTCTATATGATTAATTTGCCCCCACCCCTATCTATATATTATAAAACATGAAGTCATACATAATATGATAAAAAAGTATTACCAATTCAACAAACTGATTATATAAATAATTAATTGATATCGTATGGACTTGTACAATTAATAAAACATGACTTTATTTGTATTAATTACGAATTATAGAGTGAAGTGCTTTACTGGTTTTCATCAAACTAAATTATTAAATGAATAAATATTAATTTTATAATTTTCAAAAATATAAAATTAATTTAATCAAGTCTTGTATTTGTTAGACTAACCATCAACAATTATTCATCCATATTATGAACGAAAATGACACTTTTGTTTGAATCACATATATTTAAATTTACACGTTATTTGTGTTTTATATATGCATTTACGATCAATTTAAAACCGAGCAAATAATTCATACCCTATTATTTAAATCTATCATCTCTAAACTACATCTAAACGTTTATCTGGTAAGTACTTACCGGATAATTTTTCTCACCGAATGAACATGGCAAGGGTCAAGAATGTTACCCGGTAAGATCGATGATAAGGATGGAGAGTTTTACCCGGTAAGTGAGGGTGACAGATAAATTGTTATATATGATACGTTTTGATGTATTACAATCTTACCTAATAAAATAAAATATAATGTTGACTCCTAACATTAAGCACTTACCGGATAAGCATTTAGGTAAACGATCCCTAAATTTATATAAAGATTGATTTGTTTTTGACGATATGTATAAAGAGATAAAAGCTAAATTTTTAAAAGTCAATATCGGAAATTCATTTGGTAGGACAATTGATGTCACATGAAACATGTTCATAGCAATCCCCAAATATTAAATAGGGTTTTGGCCATTCAAACAAAATGGCTCCTTCACCTAACCCCAAACTCAAACTCAAGGGTCGTTTTTTAAATACCTATTGTTTACCAAATACTTATTCGATAAGTGTTTACTAATAAAATTTAATTCTATTATTTACTTACTGGGTAAGATTTTAGTCTACTAAAACGACATCACATGCAACAATTTACCCAGTAAGTGCTTACTATAGTAATGGTCGTTACCCTCACTTACCGGGTAAGACTCTTGGTCCTTGTCTCACTCTTGCCGGGTAAAATTTTTGGATGTTACCATATTCATCCGGTGAGGTAATGTGACTTGGTAAGCGCTTATCCGAGTAAGCTTTTGGTAAACGACCCCTTACTCAATAAGCGCTTATTGGTAAAATTCTATATTATCACTTATCGGGTAAGATTTTAGTCAACCAAAGCGACATCTTATACAATAATTTACTCGGTAAGCACTAACCGTGGTAAGAGTCATCGCTCTCACTTACCGGGTAAGACTCTTGGACCTTGTGTCGCTCTTACTGGGTAAGATTCTTGGTCCTTACTATATTCATCCCGTAAGATAATGTGACTTGGTAAGTGTTTACTTGAGTAAGCGTTTGGTAAACGACCTCTTACATCTGGTTTGACGGAATGTTTTTAAGACTTTAGAATGATTTAGAATCAAGAGAATTTGAGATCGTTGGTTTGTTAGGATTTGAAATAGAATTGAATTTTAGTTATTTTTTATAAATAATTTATAAACACGTAACAAAAATATCTACAAGTCTATTCACACAATTCATTTTGATAATTAAGTCGAGAACTTGAACCCAAAATTCTAATCATTCTTTGTCAATTTTGATTTTATTTTATAATTTTAAGAAAATGAGAGAGTTTTACATATAACTTCATGTAATATATCTTCTATCATTTTTTTTTCATTTGATGAAAAAAAGGAATAAACATATCAACTAAATAACAACTACAACGAATGATGAAGAGACCTTCAGGGTTATTCCAACATTCAGCGAACAAATGAAGCTTGTTGTGCAAGATTGCTTTTGTCTTGTCCTTTCACACACAAAGACAGAAACTCATATCCTTTCTAGAGTATAGTACGGTAAGAAGCCGATTAGTTGACTCCGATTAGTTGACTCTACTATCCACCAACCCCATGAAAGAATGTCTACTCATGTATAGAATTTTGTACTATTCACAATAGCAAAGGACAAACTTTTCTCTAAAAGCTTGACCCATAATCAAACCTTACTGCATAAAAAGATGGTTTTTAAGATTTTGTCACAAATGTTTATAATATATATGATAATAATGATAAAAAAATCGAAAAAAAAAATCAATACCAGTACACATTAAAAACAAATAAAATGCTTTTTTGATATATTTTGTTTTATTAAAATATTAATTAAATCTTAGATATTATAAAATTTGAAGATAAAATGATAATAAAGTTTAATTAAAAATAAGATGTTTATCTTATATTTGATTATGTTTATCAGTTAGTTTTCTATATATAAATATCGAATCACGTGGTAAACATAAATATAAAGTTCTTGAAATTTGTACTCATGCAATGTTAATTTGTAATCTTGAATTTTAAGAATTGAACATCTATTAATTGTATTTGTGCATATATAAAAATGGTTTTTAAGATTTTAACTCTAATGCTTTTTAATATAGTATAGATTAAATGAGGATGTATCAAATGCAAACCATCACATTTGTACAACAATGCAACCCAATCAATTGAGATATTCATTGAAATGATGAGAGTTCATTTATTATAATTTGGATATTTATGGAAGATGATTAGGGTTCATTAAGTATGATCAATACTTTACATTAGAAAACAATTAAAACTTTTATAAAATCACATATTCATCAAATTAAATGGACGGTTGAAATTGAGTTGTATTGGTTGTACAAATGTAAAAAGTTGTATAATAACTCACCTCTAGATTAAATTACTATTTTTACAAATTGATTATTATAAAACAATTGTTTTTAACATATTATAAAACATTAGTACAATTTTTTAATGAAATACTGCATAATACCAACTACTCCCATGAGATTTCTAAGATCCCATGTTTGCGGGATTTAATTGAAATCTCGTGATTTTAGTTATGAACTATTCTTTAAACTAAATGTAGAATTGGAATGATATCCAATTCCAAATCACATTAATGGGCCGTTCACTTAAATGCTTACTCGGTAAGTGTTTATCGATATGATTCAACATTATAATTTATTTTGATACGTAAGATTTTAGTACATCAAAACATATCGAATGCAACAAGTTACTGGGTAAGTGCTTATCTGGGTAAGAGTCGTTATCCTTACTTACCAGGTAAGACTCTCTATCCTTTTTATTGCTCTTACCCAATAAGATTCTTGGCCCTTCTTATGTTCATCCGATAAGGAAATTTATCCGGTAATAACTTACCAAGTAAGTGTTTAGTAAACGGCCCCTAAATCACACACATCAAACGTGCCCAAAGTGTTCTTGGTGCTTATTATTTTGTTGTAACTTATCAGATAACAACATCTCACTTTTAGGATATATTGCCTTTACATTTCCCCTTATCAAAACATAAATGATAGAATATATTGCCTTTACATTATAGGATAGCTGGTTGCACCACCAAGCAACCGATAGAAGGTCAACGTCGAACACTATATGACAGGCGTATCCTTCGTTAAGAAATTGAACCCGGGATGGTGACTACGACCTGGACTGATCGCAACATGAACGGCACGGTCTGGTGGAGACGGAGATGGAGACAACAACGGCGGGCTGGGCTTGGGGCGACGTCGTGGTCAATGGTATACGAGATTGGTGTGCGATAGGGAGGCTAGCTGAGACGAGGAACAAGTTAGGGTTTAGGCATTTTGGGTTTTTTTAATCTCATTTTTACATAAAGTACATGTTATCTCTTTAATTAGGTTCCAAGGACTCAATCTAACATTTTTTAAAATGTCAAAGGACTTATTTTATTTAAAAATATTATCCAAAGACTTGATTTTGGGATCGTTTACCAAACGCTTACTCGGGCAAGTGAACACCAAGTCATTTTACCTTACTGGATGAATATCGTAAGGATCAAGAATTTTACCAGTGTAAGAGCGAGATAAGGACCATAAGTATTACCCGATAAGTGAAGACGACCACTCTTAACACGGTAAGCTTTTACTAGGTAAATTGTTGCATACAATACCGTTTTGGTAGACTAAAATCTTATTTGGTAAGTAAATGATAGTGTTAAATTTTACCAGTAAATGCTTACCGGACAAATGTTTGGTAAACGGCCCCTTATGAAGATACTTATAAAGTTGCGAGATTTAGAAGGTTCATAGGATTAATTAATAAAGAATCAACTCAACAATAAACAACATAGAGTTACAAATATTGGATTTTGATGAAGTAAACAAAATGCAATCTTTACAAATGGGTTTTTATATTTGAATTACATACAAACACGTACATTACTAATATAAGCTAATTAATGTAGAAGATGGCTCTCAATCATGAAGGAAACTTCTGGAAAACACTCGATATTGCCAAAATCATCCTCTTTTTCTTCTTCTTGCTCTTAGAAGGAGATACCCATCATGTCTATTAAGAAGTTTTCCATCATTATCGCCTCATCTTCTCCACAGTAGTAATTCTTCGATACCATCTTATCTGCATTTTCATTAACATATATCCCCAAATCAAACAATATACATGAACATATATCGATCATATATGTAAGAACACATGTTAATTGAGATATGATAGGGTTCATTTGCCATGATTGTTGATTTAGATGAGGAAACAATTGAAATATGCATAAACCAAATGAAGAAAGGGATTTCAATTATGTATATCAGGGTTTTGTTTTGAAGCATACCGTAGGAGGAGGATTCGACTTGGTTGGTTTGTGGAATGGGTGGGAGCTTCTTGAGTGGGCATGAGGTGATGGGAAGCATAGGGAGAACATGACAATTGCAGATCTCAATCATGTATCCATCAGGATCGTGGAAGAAGAGCTGGTTCACCTCCACACCTCCTTCTTTCACCACCGCTGTCACGTATTTGATGTCTAATTCCTCCAGTTTTTTTATTATGCGATCCATATCTGTGCATTGAAACGAAATGTGGTTGTCTTTTGGATTGATCACTCCTCTCTTCGTTGGAGTTGTCTCCACTTGTAACAAATGTATTCCAATCCCATGGTTGAACAACCTATTTTAAATCATCAAAAACAGAAGATTCAACATTAATTAGTTGAAGGACGTCTACCAAAATTAGCAAAAATAACCACGAATCCAGCAAATTAAGTGCACATTAATTAGATTTAAGAGTTGAACTTATTATTGGTATTCACTTTAATTTCTCCTGTAATCCAATAATACTATCGAGCTGTGTTAATCTTGAATGCAACAAAACCAGTACAATTGTACATCACCAGTCCCCACAGACAAATATTGATCAAATTAATCACAGTAAAAAATAATTACAGATCCGTGTAATGAACAGGAATCAATTTCGTTGCAGTTCGAAATGTGTGTTGCAGAGTTGAGAGATTAACAACAATATAAGTAATTGGAATGCATAATAATGGGAGAATCGAAAGAGATGCTCACCAAGCGCCTTCAAAATCAAAGGAGGAAGGACGTCTGATGAGAACGAATCCGAGAACATCGTTGTAAAATTTGACGGATGTAGGAACAGATCTGCAGATAAAGGAGACATGATTGAGAGAGAGAAAAGGCAATGAAGAAGAAACGTGTTGTTCGTTATGTCCGCCATTGACAACCTGGTTCGCCATTAATGAAGCAGAAAGGTAAAGTTGGTTTGAGTAGGTGTAAGTGTTAGTAGTGGTTAATTCGCTGAGAAGCTGAGTTGCTTATATAGGCACAAGGAGACAACTGTGGAAAGAGATGAGAATCTACGTGTCAACACCTCATTTTGTTACCTATTAGAACCACGTGCTTCTCATGTGCAAACACTTTTCAGAGTGTGAATCCATTCTCAACTCCCTTTCTTGTAATACTTATTTTCTATTTTTTAATTATATTTAATACTAATTATTTATATTAAAAATTATGGTTGTAAATTATGGTTTTCGTCTCTATTGACTTTGCTTATATAAAAAAAATATTTGTTGTACTGATTTTGGTTTTACTTTTTCTTAACAGAGCTATCTTCTAATTTTTTATATACTTCATCAAAACTAAGGGACTGTTCGAATGTTTACTATTTATAGAATTATTTGTCGTAATTTGGTATGGTGATTTGACCCGACCCCGTGGGGAACCCAGTTTACCCGACCCGGACGGGCAGGGGCGGACGCACTACAAGGTCGTTGGGGTGCTGGGCCCCCAACAAAAATTAAATAGGAAAGCCCAAAATTTTTTTTTACTTGTATTTTGAGATTAGGTGTAATTGGGCCCCCAACAAGATGAGGTAAGAGGCCCCTCTTCAGTGCAGGAAACGAGAGTGAACTGTGAAGACATACCGCATACACGCTAACACTTACACGACTACACGAGTGACGAGCCTGCAGCCTGCTGCCGAGAGCCGCCTGCAGCCTGCCTGCGACGGTGCGACCTCACTTCTTCTCTTCTTCTTCATCGCTGCGACCTCACCTGCTGTGCCGCCTGTGCGACCTCACTTCTTCTTCATCGCTACTGCAGTGCTGCAGCCGTCTGCCGACGCCCGACAGCCGACTGTGTTGTGCCGTGTGCGACTTCCTTCTTGGTCTTGGCCTCTTCTCTTGGGTAAAGATTCTAATTTCCAACTTCAATGTGTAGTATTTTAGGTTAATTTTGTGGTAAATGCTTTAGGTTAGGTATTTTAGGTTAATTTTGTTGGTTAATTTTGTGGTAATTGGTAAATGCTTTAGGTTAATTTAATAATTTTGTTGGTTAATTTTGTGGTAATTGGTAAATGCTTTAGGTTAATTTAATAATTTTGTGGTAATTGGTAAATGTTTTAGGTTAGGTATTTTAGGTTAATTTTGTTGGTTAATTTTGTGGTAATTGGTAAATAATTTGGGTAAAAATTCTAATTTCCAAATTCTAGTCTTTGATTTTGATTACTTCTTTGATTTTGTTGTTTGCTTATTAGTGATTTGGTAAATGTTTTATGTTAGGTTAATTTTATAGACAATTTTGTAGGCAAATCAAATGAAAATGTCAAATGTTAGGTTAGTTTTATAAGCATTTTTGAAGGTAAATCAAATGGAAATGTCAAATGTTAGGTTAATTTTTGCAAATGGAAATGTTGCAAAATGGAAATGTTAGACAAATGGAAATGTTAGGTTAACCGAACAGTTTAAACCTGAACAGTTTAAACCTAGCTTTATTTCAACGACATTAGTTATCTTTATTCGGTTAACCGAACAATTTAAACCTGAAAATAAAAACCCGAAACCTTTTTTGGTTCGGACGAATTGTTCGGTTTCGAAATTTTTTCGACCCTCCTAAGTGTGCCCCCAACCATAATAGTTTCTAGATCCGCCACTGCGGACGGGGCCGGGGATTCTCCTTAAAATGGGTACCGAGTCCGGGGCCGAGGATCCCCGGTAGAGGCAAACCGGGGTTGGGGCCGGGGCCGGGCATTGTATCCCCCGACACGCCCCGTACTCGATATAGTGATAATATCATAATATTAATTCATATATAAGTCCATTGGGCTTTGGTTAATTGGTTTGGCTTTGACAGTAACTCACACGAGAGTCCACTTCCAGACACCAACACCATTGTCGCCTTCCCCTAACCCCTTCTGCGTTCTGCCCTTCACTCTTCACGGTTGCAAGCTGCTTTCCCCAAATCGGCAAGCAAATCCCAATTCCCCTTCCYGGCGGCCGGCGACCTTCCCCTTCTTCACGTCCTGTTCCTGTGGACCTTCGACAGCGACAGTCACTGTAGTCCTCGTGGACCATCGACCTTCGACAGACGACAGTCACCCTAGTCGTCGGCTCTCGGCTCGTCAGTCGTCAATCGACCCAACTACATCTAGTCGGCGCACAACCACCAGTCCACCTGCACCACACCAGTCGTCTTCTTCAATAATTCGAGCCTTCGAGGTCAGTAGACAGTAGTCTTATACTCTTATTTGTCAAATCAATAAACCATGTAGTTTTTTTGTTATAGATTTACTGTCTTACTGATTTAGGCTTAATGTAACTGTTTGTTGATTGTTTCCTATCATAACTGTTTGTTGATTTACTAATGAATTTATTTTCGCTCAAAAGTCAAAAGAAGAAAGTAACATAAATAGTAAAAGTTAAAAGATGTTAAATAGACTTGTAATATTGCATAAGTCTTAAACTGTTTGATGAATTTTAATGCAACTGTTAGTTGAATTTTAATTGTAATACTGCATAAGTCTTAAACTGTTTGTTGAATTTTAGTGCAACTGTTTGTTGAATTTTAATCCATACCCAATGGACTTGTAATAGTAATACTACATAAGTCTTAAACTGTTTGTTGAATTTTAATCCATACCCCAATGACTTGTAATACTGCAATGCATAAGTCTTTAGCTCTTATTCTTTGTTTTTTAATGATTTGCAAACATATTAGAGGAATACATTCAGAATTTGTAAAGAGGACTACAATCCATAGGCATAAGTCACTGCCATAGTCTTTAGCACTTATTTTACTGCATGAATTTGTTGAAGACAACATCTCTAATCAATGATTAATTGATTATAGTTATATAAATTTCAATAACCATATACATTGATCAATTCTTTTACGAAATATACTTGTATCTCATTGTGCCTAATTTCTGATTCTTTTTCTAAGATGGAAAGTTCACACAACAAGAACACATAAGATATTGGACGTAATGCTACGGAAGGAAACGATAAGGAAAATACGACTTGTAATGACACAAACGAATCTGTAAGCATGCCTATTGGTTCAAATATTAGCCCCGAGACTGAAGTCAGTGAACCAGCAAACAAAAGATTGAAATATGTTGTCTGGAACCATTTTGAAGCAATATATATTGATGGTCTTCGCCGATTTGCAAAATGTAAGTATTGCAATAAGCAGATGACCGGTAGACCTAATGATGGGACAACACATTTGAAAGATCATTTCAAGATATGTCCGAGGAAAGTTACAAAAGACATAAGGCAACATATTTTAGTTCAAGAGCAGACTGCTAAGGATGGAAAAACATCTTTATTGAGTAATTATAATTTTAGTGCTGAAAGCTCAAGAGATGATTTAGCTAAAATTATCATTCTTCATGATTATCCACTTTCTATTGTTGAGCATCATGGCTTTCCGAAGTATTCAAATGGTCTTCAACCTTTATTTAAGGTCCCTTGTAGAGCTACAATCAAGTCTGACATCATGAAGATATATGAAACAAAAAGAGGTGGTGTATTGCGATGTTTGGAAGAAAACAAAAGTAGGATTGCTCTTACTTCGGATATGTGGACAGCCGGTAACCAAAACAAAGGTTACATGGCACTAACAGCATGCTACATAGATGCCAATCGGAAGTTACAAAATCGGATTATCAGGTTATTTCTTTTTTAGTATTTTGTGCTATTTTTATAATTCAATGTTAATATTCTCATTTTAATATATTCTTTGAATCTTTGATGCAGTTTTTTACATGTGCCATCTCCACACACTGCTGATGCATTGTCCCAAGTTATGTTCGAGTGCTTTATGGATTGGAACATTGACAACAAGTTGTCAACATTGACACTTGACAATTGTTCAACAAATGATGCTTTGGTTGACAGGCTCTTAGGTACTCTTTCTCCTTCCTCCTTGATTTTGAAGGGTAAGTTGTTCCACATGAGATGTTGTGCACATATCATTAATCTCATTGTGCAAGATGGGTTTTCTATSATTGAGAAAGCAATCAAGAATGTTAGGGATAGTGTCTCATTTTGGACATGTTCTCCTAAAAGAGCCCAAGACTTTAGACTCGTTGCACGACAACTAGGTGTAAATTGTGAAAGAGAATTAGTGCTTGATTGTAAGACTAGGTGGAATTCTGTTTATACAAATGTTGAATGTTGTTTTAGAATATAAAGATGTCTTTACTCGTTTAAGCAAGAAAGAGAAACATTAGGTTTCTTTACCTAGTGAAGAGGACTGGAGAATGGCGACTAATGTATGTGATAAGTTAGGTTTATTTTATCGTGTGACAGAGACATTCTTTGGGACCAAATATCCCACTTCCAACATGTTCTTCCCTTTGATATGTGACATAAAATTATCTATTAAGAGTTGTGAAGACGATCAAAATGACGTTATTAGGAATATGGCATCAAGTATGTTGCTTAAGTTCGATAAATATTAGGGAGTCATACATGATGTGATGAGTGTGGCTATTGTTCTAGATCCTAGATATAAGTTAAAGTTGATAAATTATTTCTTCCCAAAGATTTATGGTATGGACTCAAAAGAAGAGGTTTATGAGGATACGGACTTTATGTAATGATTTATTTGAGGAATACAAAAAGAAACATGAACAGAATTAAAGGAAAGGACAAAGTGACACTACCGTTTCAAGTGAGGGGAAATCTTCTTCAAACAAGGCCTCATGGCAATTGGATTTTGAGAATATGATCTCTGAGGATGACATGTTTGAAACGACTGAGTTGGATGATTATTTGTCAGAGAAATTGTTACCACAGGATGAAGGGTTTGACATATTAATGTGGTGGAAGTGCGACGGTGTCAAGTTTCCAATCATGCAGCGGATTGCGAGGGATGTATTGGCAATTCCTATTTCAACAGTAGCTTCAGAATCGGCTTTTAGCATGAGTGGAAACAAGGTAACGAAACAACGAAGTCGACTAAAATTGCAAACAATTGGGGCTTTGATGTGCAGTCAAAGTTGGCTAAGGAAAGAAATTGAAGATAATAATTATATAAATTGTTTGTTATAATAATTATGTAAATTGCAATTGGTATATATAATTTTTCTGACTTGCATTATTTTATTTCAGATAAAAAACACGGAGAACCAAGAGGATTTGATCAAACGATTGGATACGATGAAGATGTTGATTGTTGAGGGACGGAATTATGTGTTGCTTGGAAAAAACTTGTTTTAAATTTTACATCTCATTGGATTATTGTTAATTTTATAATTTTATTATTTTTATTAGACAAGACTAGATATGATGTAATAATGTTGTCATGTTGATGTTGTTTGCAAAAAACTTATAAATTTTAATTTTACCGGGTGTTGACCGTGGGTTGACCGAAAGTTGATCGGGACCGAAAAGAAAATCCCCGTACCCGCCGGGTACCAGGGCTGGGGCTGGGGATTGCAATCCCCGCCCCATCCCCGCCCTGTTGCCATCCCTAGTCGTAATGTTGCATTAACGATCTTCCTCTTTTTACGTACACTCCTCACATTTGGTGAGACTTAAACCCTTAACATCCTAAGGAGGTGATAGCAAAAATAACACACATGTAAAGTGTGGCACAATAGTGGTGCAAATATACACCAACTATCGAGTTCGCTTGTGAGTAATATAATGGCGAGTTACTAAAAATTGTCTCCACAGGAACTGGTGGTACTAAGAATCAGAGATTTCTTACGGACTTCCGGTGCAAAGCTAGATTTTGTAAAAATTGTTTGTTCTAAGAGGATGTTGATGATTTAAAATAACAAGTAATAAAAAGCGGGTACATATGTAATCTTTCCCCGAGAGTATATTAATAACTTAAATGGTTGACGAAATCAGTCACAAAATAAGACTATACGATTTTCTCATCTCAAAGCTATGTCGTATGGGTTGAGAATTATAGTTTTATCATAAAGTGTCCATAAAATGCTAACTTTCAGTTTACCAACTTTGCTAAGTAGATCTCGAAGATCTTAGCTTGCCAGTATGGAGAGATGCGCAAATCTCTATGATATACCAACTCGACCAAAATCTGAACCTTAATATTGTTATGAAAAAATGCATATCTTTATGCGATCATTGAAGATTTTCTCAAACCTCACTGCATCATTCAAACGTATTTTATTTCAGCTCATCTCTTGGTCAAATATCTAATATTAAGACACACAAGTGATCGATTTGTCGCGTTGAGTTAAAACTTAAACTAGAATGACCAAACCGAAAAGTTAGCAAATAGTGGTGACACCCAAGTGTTACATTTTGATCTATCGAGTTTGGCTTACACTCACACCAAGAGGGCTTTAGCTACTGCTCATAAGTAAAGACACAATGAAAGAAAAAGAATATTGAAACTTAAATTGCATTAAAATAAAACTCGCCATTGTGGTAACAAGCTCGCACAATGATGAACATAAAGTAAATATGGCAAAAATTAAACTAATTAAAAAGAAAATATAAGAATAAAGTAATTCTTAGCTGAATCTTGATGGTGTATGATCCTCCAATCTTGACGAGTTGATCACTTTTAAAGTGTTAAAGTGTCATGGTCTTAGAGATAAGCCACTTAATGCACGTCAACTTGAATGATATAAGAGGTAAACTTGAGAAAGTTACCGACAAACAGACTTGTCATTTATTTCTTTCAAAATTAACTCCCGACAGGTTGGTCACTCTTTAAAAGTGTCAAAGTGCGATAAATTCAGAGATGAACTATCTAGAACACACTCCAACTTGAATGATATGGGAATTGGCTCGAGAGAGTGATTTTTAACAAAGAGATTTGTTTATCCATATATTTTGAAGACACCATTTTGTCACTATCACTGGTCCGGATACCACATAGAGATATATGTTGAAAGCTATAATATAGTGCAAATGTGAAGTCCGAGAGGAATACCTTCAAAATAGATGGTGGAACTAGTTTTGGCTTACCTCATGTTGTAGCATTCCTACAGCATTGTCTGCTGGAATTTGTGTTTGTATTTCACAATAAGTCTTACACCCATGCTACCATTTATATTATGTTATTTTATCATTGTTAACTCAGAATCAAACTGAAGTCTTCAATTTCATTATCTGAAATCATTTCTCTCATTGGACTCTTATTAAGTCTTTGCTACAATCTCCATGGACGATATTCGATTTTTACCACTTTATTACTTGGAAAAGACGACATTGGACCATATTATATACTTGTTTTGTGGTTATTTTTATAAGTCTAAAGGTGTGAAAATTAACTTACCAAGTTTTTGGCGCCGCTGTTGGGGATTGGCAAGCTAAAAGTTCTTTTTAAGAGTAAAGTAAAATATTTGATTTTTCTAGTACCGTTTGAATCATTTTGAAAGTGGTGTATGCCATGGATACACTGCGGGGAGTTTCTCGAATTTGATCCCGATATTGAGAGAACATTCCGCCAAAGAAGGAGGGCGCAAAGAGCATTTTTTGCTCTACTCCCTCCCAACATGGCGTTTCCTCCCCCAATCAATCAAGTTATAATGTTGAGATCATATGTAAACCATATGACAAGATTTAAGGGTTCTCACATGATTAGTTTCTTAAAGTAAAAGACACCAAATCAGTGTGGGAGATGGTCTTGGAATGCAGAAGACTATGGTTGATTAATCCAGTAGGACATTGGGGTTCTATTATCCTCCATAGGCATCTCACGAGTGGTTGGAAGATGATATTAACTTATTTGATTTTATGAAATTGTTAGTAAGCATGTGTTGCTTAAGCAAGATATAAAAGCAAAAAGGTGGTAGAAAGAAGTGTTAATTGTAATCATGTATCAAATTTTGTAAGTAAGAAATATTGTATAGTTAAATAATAAGGTCTATTCAAGCGTATGAATTCTAAGCCATAAAAAAGGAGCGTTGGAATTGTTCCCATAGTTATAGCTAGAAAGACATCATGCTAGAATAGTGTAAACATGCATGAGATATTTTGCATTAAGTCAAATATAAGTAAGTTGCAATATAAGTTGAAGATGATGAAATAAGTAAAGATAGTTGAATTGATAAAAAGTTAAAAAAAGTAATGTGGAAGTTAAGACATTACCTGGTGAACATCATCATCCTGATATCTATGATTGTTAATGTGAGCATGATCAAAAAGTGCTAAAATTAGAGCAAGATGAATGATGTTTATGTAGTCAGGAAGATTAAATGTACATCAATTATTATGAAGTATGTAATGTAGGGTTATTATATCGTAAACTTGATCGAGCTGGAAAGTAAATGAAGTATGCCAAAGATTGGAAAGAAGATCGAGAAGTATTCCAAGAGTGTCCCTGCCAGATTAGACAGAGGATATTTTTTTGTATATAATGATGTTACAATGTTGAACTATGAGGTATATCGGTGAAAAAGGGAAATGATATAGTATTTATGTCATGGTAATTGAAAATGTATGATTTGAAATTAGTAGCAGTGGTAGTGGCTCTTGAAATATGGAGGCATTATCTACATAATGGATTTTATAGCCTATACTCGATAGTTGAAGACATCTCAAGGACAAGAGATCAATACATGTATGTATAAGTTCATGAATATGAAAAGGTATGATGCATAGTTTTATTGTGAAATAATTTATCACAAATTTGATGAACGTTTGCATGCATGTTGCCGTATTTTGTAGATAAAAATAACATGGTGATATCTATGTGGGGTAATCTTTAGTGACAGTTGGAATAACCGCTTAGAGTCGAACATGGTCACTTATAATTAATGATTATCAAAAGAGTATTGAAGCAGAGCAACTCGAAGAGTTATGTGTTAGAGGCTAGCCGGTTTGCCGAACTAACATCGAAAAGAAAAGAGTCGGATAGATAGATCAAAGATAGTCCATCATTGATCAGAAAATATTGCTCAAGTTAGCGATAGATTGAAGATTGTTGAGATAGGAAAATGAGCTTAGAGCTTCAAACAATAAATGAGTTGGTATTGTGATATTTATGACATGATGTATTCAATGCAAAGAAGAGTTTAGTAGATAAAAAGGAAGTCGTAACTCTTAAGGATATGAAGAAAATAAGATAAAAAAAACTAAGAAGCAGAGGGATTTCTCTCGTGAATGTTCAATGAAGACGTCATAATGGTTCGAAAGATACTTGGGAACTTTATAAGGGGACGAGATTGAAATTCCCTCATTTATTTGCATAGGGAAAATTTCGAGGACGAAATTTTGTTAAGGGAGAAAGTTGTAATAACCAAAAAAAATGGGGGGAAAGAATTCATAGTCGTTAAATTTCAAGGACCGGTAGTGTAAATGCAATCAAAGTAAAGAGTTTAGACCCTAAAATTGAATGTAATTCAGTGACATGAAACCTAATGGTCATGAAACCTCCGGCCATTTATCATGGCCTTATCGCTTCCTCTTCCTTGAAACCGCCAATGGCTTAGTATAAAACTGGAGTTTGTAGGTTTATGTGAATTTTGGTCAAGAAAGAGAACTATTGTGAGCAAAGACGACGATGAACGCTGAAACAAGAGTTGATGGTGCTCTACATCGTAGCTAGTTTGGCACCAATTGGTAAGTGTTTTGTACCGATCCTCTCTAAATAATTTTTTACTAGATAATCCCGCTAGTTGTTTGATTAATCGGGTAGATTTCAATAGGGCAACGGTGCCAAGAGTCACAATAGCACCTCTGCCATTCTACACAAAGGTAATCTTAGTGATACCAAGTTGTCAAACTGTGACCCTCGTATCGATTCTAAAAGATAGAAATTATGGGTCATGGGTGTAACGGATGGCCCGACGTTTCACCGCTGTGATGGATCGAAGCTTACGTACCTTGAGAACTCGTTGTTAGAGGCTTATTAAGCAAGATATTTCTTGTTATTAGGCTCGTTGGTCAATATATTTGAAAGAAAGAAAGAAAAATAAACTCCTCGAAACAGTAGGTGGATCATGGGTGACGGGTGTATTGAGAAATCGAAATGGGTACATATATATAAACACACACCATGCATGCGTCAACCTTGCATGAAGAGTTACTGAGTTAGTATGCATGTGTGTGTATATATATATATATATATATATATATATATATATATATATATAATGTTTCAAGGCAAAAGTCATGCAAATGCATGTACATATTAAGTTATTAGTGTGCATACATGCATTTCATGCATGCAAAGTCATCCAAATGATTTTCATGTATAAACTATTGATGGCATGGCTTCATATAAATGTATA